CCTGTTGCCCCTTCAGCTTCCAAAACCTCCTCCTATTCCCATTAAGTAATGATTCTAAAATTTTGTCTAAAATGTACAAACTGCTGCTTGAACGGCATTTGAAGGATGAGGAGGTTAAGTCTGTTATGATTCACTGGGCCAAAGATTTTGGGTATAATATACAGCTGAGTGATTGGGTAAAATTATGGAAAGAAGGTTTAAAATTTACTGCATGCAATGCCCTAAAAGAAAATGTGATGAAAATGATGTATAGATGGTATATAACACCTGTCAAGTTAGCGAAAATGTATAAAGTCAGTTAACAAATGTTGGAAATGTAAAGAAAAAGAGGGAACATTTTATCACATGTGGTGGGAATGTAAAAAGGTGAAATGCTTCTGGGAGATGATATATAATGAGATGAAAAAATGTTTAAATATACATTCATAAAGAAACCAGAAGCATTTTTACTGGGCATTGTGGGGAGTGATATAAATAGAAAGGAATGTAAGCTCTTTTTATATGCAATAACAGCAGCAAGAATATTACTGGCCCAAAAACGGAAGCAAGAAGAATTACCGACGATTGAAGAATGGAGAATGAAGTTAATGGACTATGCAGAACTAGATAAACTAACAGGAAGGATTCGAAACTGGCGGGACCAGAAATTCACGGAAGACTGGAGTAAATTTATGGACTACTTGAATAGTATTTTTGAAGAGCAGACGACGTTTGTAGGTTTGCAAGAAGTTTTGTGAGGAGTATTATTGGAAGTATTGCAAAGTTGGAGAAGGGGAAGGATGATTTGTTAAGAGATGTAAAGGCAATATAAAGTTAAGAAATGCATAAGAAGTGGTTAAAACGGTGGATCATCAGAGGTGCTGATGGAAGTCAAAAGATTGTATAAGTGATAAATTTTGTGGTACATTTTATAATTTATATGTTAAAATCAATTTTTTTTAAAAAAAACCTCCTCCTCTTCCCTGTTTGCTCCTCCTTTGCCCTCTGACCACTCATTGTGGATCTGCCCCCACTACTTTCTCCTGATCTTTCCCCCTCCAGGAACTGATGTTGCCACAGCTGGTGGGCTGGGACTGAGCCCCACAGCCCTGGGCAGTGGCCAAAGCTGCTCCCTCCTGCCCACAACTGTTTGGGAAAGGAGGCAGCCCCCAAGGAGGGTCATAGGAAGTGTGAGCGTTGGGTGGGTGTCTGCTCAAGGTGCAAGGCAGCGGCATGGTGGGCCTTCCTTCCACCACCGCCCCTGCAGAGGAGGCTTCACAAAGGAGCCTGGGTGTCTGTACACATGACCCACACAGAGACAAGGTCTCTTCTCTCTCTGTCTCTCTCTCTCTCTCTCACACACACACACCAGTGGCATCGCAACAGGGGCAGGGGGCGGTGTGCCCCAGTTGCCATGTCTGGGGGGGTGACAAGAAGGTACCCCGCGGGGGTTCGCGGTAGCACAAGCAGCCATCGCGCCGCCGCCGCATGTGGAGGTTCCTCTGTTTGTGGCTGCAGCAGCAAATCGCTATGTATAGTAATAATAATAATAATAATAATAATAATAATAATAATAATAATAATTTATTTGTACCCCACCCATCTGGCTGGGTTTCCCCAGCCACTCTGAGCAGCTTCCACAAAGACCAAAAATACACTAAAATGTCACACATTAAAAACTTCCCTGAACAGGGCTGCCTTAAGATGTCTTCTGAATGTCAGGTAGTTGTTTATCGCTTTGACATCTGATGGGAGGGCATTCCACAGGGCGGGTGCCACTACCAAGAAGGCCCTCTGCCTGGTTCCCTGTAGCTTTGCTTCTCGCAATGAGGGAACCGCCAGAAGGCCCTCAGCGCTGGACCTCAGCATCCTGGGGGTGGAGACGCTCCTTCAGGTATACTGGGCCGAGGCTTTAAAGGTCAACACCAACACTTTGCACACATGCGCCGTACATAACGATGCTGTACATAGTGGTTTGCTGCTGGCGCCGCTCCAGCAATGTACGGACGGCGGAGGGATCCCTCCGTCGCCACTACAGCCACAAATGGAGGATCCTCTGTTTGCAGCTGCAGCTGTGAGCAGAGGATCCCGGCACTGTCCGTATGGCGCTGGAGCGCCGGCACCGGCAAACCGCTATGTGCAGCGCATGTGTGGCATCGCTACGTATGGCACATGCGTCGTACGTAGTGACGTCGCACATGTGTCCTACATAGCGACGCCCCGCCCCAGGTGTCACGACACCTTCGCTCGCCCCTGACACACACACACTGACTCCATTAAACCAAAGGAGGCAAAAACTCACAACCTGTGTCCTGCAGTCATCACAAATTAATGCCAATGAAGCATTTTGCCCTCAAAAGCGTGACTTGTCCGCAGAGCTGGATTCTCCTTTCATCAGCACAAAAGGAGGGAGAGAAAAAAGAGGGATCCTTAGGAAAGGAACTGGAAATAGAACTGGCAGAAACATGGTGCCGTTATACAAATCCATGGTGTGATCACATTTGGAAGACGGTGTGCCGTTCTAGTCACCTCAGCTCAAAAAAGATATTGTGGAGATGGGAAAAGCTTCTGAAAAGGGCCACCAAAGTGATCGAGGGGATCAAGCAACTACCCTGTGGAGTAAGGTTGCAGCATCTGGGACTTAGGGGCTTAGGGAAGGGGTAAGCAAGAGGCGACATGTTGAGATTTGTGCATTGCAGGCGGTTGGACTAGATGACCCTCAGGGTCCCTTCCAAGTCTGTGATTCTATGGTTCTGCGTAGCAGCAGCAGCAGCAGCAGCAGCAGCCATGGACCTCTCCTCTCATGTGGTGTAGGAAAAACTAGAACAGTGTCTAATAGGAGAGATACCTAATGATGCCACAAAGGCAAGACCACACTCTTAATCATGGGCACCAGGTCATAAGAAGGTCAGCCAGATATATCTCAAATCAGGATTATAACAAGGAGATTATCCCACCTGAAGAAGTCTCTCTGAAGTTCAAAGAGCCAATCCTTCCAATATGTTAAACATCTCCCAAAGTAATTAACCAAAGCAACTCTGAGAGAGGGAAATCTTTGCATATTTAAGGTACTTCAGTGTGGACTTTCCTGCCTGCTTGCTGGGAAATACTAGCCTTTTGTGGGGGGGAAAATCTGTATAAGCCCTTTCTCTGTTTCAGGCAGTGTCACAAAGAAGTCCCACAACTGATGCATCACAGCCATAAGGCCAGTTTAGGATCCCCACTGGCTCATGAGGAGCCACTAAAAACAAACAAGCCAGGAGTAGCTGGAGCAACCTTTATGTTATGGATTTGCCTGATGAGCAAATGGCATGTTTGATATCTGTTTATTTTATTTTAGACGTTTCAGGTTTTCGTTGCCTAGGCTTTCTGTGATTTAAATGAAACACTTCCTCTTTGCAGATAGATGTTTTGGTTCCTATTGATCCCTGCTGGGGAGTTAGTAATTTTGCCTCGAAAAACCAGTATGTGGATTTCCCTGCACCATTTTGTGTGGGGGGGGGTACAGTGGTGCCAACTAGTGAGGGAGATTGTTGGCTGCCTTGAGTTAGACTCTGCCATTCATCCCCCCACCCCCAAAATCCCCCCCAGGAGCTCAAGGCCACCCGCTTCCCCCGCCTTAGAAACAGTTTCTATCCAAATGTGATTTTGGTTTTAAACACAGTGTAAGGTAGTCTTTAGGGACGCGGGTGGCGCTGTGGGTAAAAGCCTCAGCGCCTAGGACTTGCCGATCGAAAGGTCGGCGGTTCGAATCCCCGCGGCGGGGTGCGCTCCCGCTACTCGGTCCCAGCGCCTGCCAACCTAGCAGTTCGAAAGCACCCCCGGGTGCAAGTAGATAAATAGGGACCGCTTACTAGCAGGAAGGTAAACGGCGTTCCGTGTGCTGCGCTGGCTCGCCAGATGCAGCTTTGTCACGCTGGCCACGTGACCCGGAAGTGTCTGCGGACAGCGCTGGCCCCCGGCCTCTAGAGTGAGATGGGCGCACAACCCTAGAGTCTGGCAAGACTGGCCCGTATGGGCAGGGGTACCTTTACCTTTACCTTTAAGGTAGTCTTTATGTGGGTATATTGTATTCAGTTATGGGGTAGCAGAGTTTTTAGGGGCTGACCAGGCCTGGGATAGCAGGTGTGATGGCCTGGGAATACGATTCAGAGAGTGAACCGGAGGAATCCCAGCCTGCACAGGAGTCCCCGCCTCCAGGGCTGGCTGAACTGGGGCAGGGCCTTGATTCTGAGGTGCCTGCACCTGTGCCGGATCCTCAGGAGCAGGCACCAGGTGAATCCATTCTGGCCCCAGAGGTGGTTGAGGACTCAGTGTCTACAGGTGAGCGTCCCCCGGGGCCCAGTAACCCTTCGGCCTCTCCTGAGCTGCAGAGGCTTAGGGCAGAGAGGCGAAGGGAACTGGTGTCTCCCAGGAGGAGTGCTCGCCTTAAGGCCAGGAGAGGCGGGGCTCCTGGGGGCCGGGACCGCCCCTGGCCTCAGAGAAGATAAAGGCCAGTCAGCCCAGTCCCAGGTTGCGGGAGCAACGTCGTCGTTGAGTACCTGCTCCTGTCCGGACCCAGACCTGACCCTCCAGTGTTCCTGTCCCCACTCGGCTTCCTGTTTCGGACCTCGCCCCACTCCTTGTGAACTGTTTCCAGGCTATTGACCCAGGACTGGACTCAGGGACGCGGACTTATAAAAAATATTGGGGGGGCCCGGGAAAGCTCATGAATAATAAATAAGCTCATGAATATGCAAATAAAGTGGCTCCGGCCCTAAATAGGGCAAGCCACGCCCCCCCAGCCAGCCGATTGGCTGGCTGGGAGGTGTGGCCAGTCGGGATTCCCCTGTTCTCGCGGGGGCTGAAACCGCCAGGAGGAAGGAAATTCCCCCCGGCAGTGCCTTGGCAGTGGCGGTGGTGCTGCGAAGCAGCGAGGCAGGAGCCCCCACCCCCGGCGCCCGAGATTATTGGGGGGGCTGAGCCCCCCCAAAAAATTTTTTGAGGGGGCTCGAGCCCCCTCAAGCCCCATGGGGTCGGCGCCTATGACTGGACTTCAACTACGTCAACGGTAACCTTCCCCCCGGGACCAGCACAGCAGGCTTGTGGGTTTTTGAATGTCTGATGTAGATGTTTTCAATTTCGTTGTTCTGTATAGGACAATGACAATAAAGATTATTGTATTGTGTCGTGTTGTGTCGTATCGTATTGTTGTCAAATGCATGTTGGACCAAGAGACTGTGTGTGGCCTTGAGGTTTTAGGGCTGCAAGCAGACACTTGGAGCTGGGCTGCCCTGGTCCTATTCTGATACTTTAACCACTGTACTATGTTAAAGGTAAAGGGACCCCTGACCATTAGGTCCAGTCTCGGACGACTCTGGGGTTGCATTGCTCATCTCGCTTTACTGGCTGAAGGAGCCAACGTACAGCTTCTGGGTCATGTTGCCAGCTTGACTAAGCCGCTTCTGGTGAACCAGACCAGCACACAGAAACGCCGTTTACCTTCCTGCCAGAGTGGTACCTATTTATCTACTTGCACTTGACTTGCTTTTGAACTGCTAAGTTGGCAGGAGCAGGGACCAAGCAATGGGAGCTCACCCCGTCACGGGGATTCGAACTGCCAACCATCTGACCAGCAAGTCCTAGGCTCTGTGGTTTAACCCACAGCATCACCCATGTCCCACCGTACTGTGTTATAAGAATTATTAAGGTCTCAAATATAGAATAAATATTCATAAATGCACACATATCTAAATATATAAACCGTGTATCTGAAATAGTACGGGAGAGCAATCCTGAAGCCATTTTGACTCTCCCAATGACTTCAAGTATTCCTCTGCAGTAAGGGAGGCAAATTGGGAAAGCCTTCCCATTGCCTTGCTTACAAATCCTTGTCTTAAGGATGTGCTTGTGTATGAATAGGGTAAGCCTGTGACCAGGAACTAAAGTATTAACCACCACAAAAGAATGGCCAGGCTGCCCAGGTAATGCAGTCAGTGACCATTATCTGGTATCCTGGCAGACAGGATTTCTGCTATAGACCACTTGCTGTGATGATTTCGGTGTGGTCTTTGGCTAAGGCGGTTGGGCAGTGTCAACAGTCTTTAAAGGTTCCTGCACACTTTTGTTCAGGGTCTCCCTCCTTGGAAGGAAGGGCACGAACTCTTTTGCAACTCCACTGGATCCTGCCTCCATCCACTCTTCTCTGACCAATCATGGTCTTAGGGGACTCAGAGTCCCATGGGGAGTTGGGCAGCAAAAGCCAAACCCCAATTTTTACATCAACTATAAATGAGGGGATTCTGAAGTGGGGTGGGGGGGAGGTTATACCCATAGCTGTCAACGTTTCCCTTTGTTAAAGGGAAATTCCCTTATTCCAAATAGGATTCCTCGCAAGAAAAGGGAAAAGTTGACAGTTATGGTTATACCTCACAAGCTCCCTAAATTTGCCACCACATCTTGGGGGAACATTGCTTTCAAAGCCTTTCAGATAGCAAATGCTTAAACGCCCAAGGACACAGAAGGCTGCTTTATATTTGTGAATCCAGAAATATTTCCCCTTCTTTGCCTAATGTTTTGTGCTCTCACAGGTGCATCTCATCGTATGCATTGTCCCGGGTGCGTTGCCATGGCAACTCCTCTGCCAGGAACCCAGCTATTGCCATGTCACTCTAATGGAGCCTGCCTGAAGTGTTGATGATTGTCTATCACATTGTCAGTCAGTGGTTGATTGAAACTGGTGAGTTTACCTGTGTTTGTTGATGCTGTAAGTGAAATATGCTGCAACGGAGTTTATTTCCCTGGTTAACCCCCAGTGAAGTCAGAGAACTGTATAAACCAAACAGTAATGGCTCTGTTTTGTTTCATATGTACAATTTCTGTTTCCCCTGTCCAAATCCCACCCTGTGATAACTGCACTGGTAGCTTGCATATTTTTAACAGGCCACCCCTGTGCATTGCGCTCTTGTGTGACCCTCATTCCTTTCAGTGAAGCATGTGCAGGAGAACAACCAGAAGAATTTCGTTGCTATACTTCTACTCTGCCCCCCACGTCGTGTGGCAGGAACATTTTCTCTTCATTCCGCCCTTGACTGATGAGATATATTGTCGGAGGCGGCATTTCATATAACTAGAAGTATCACACGGTCACAAGTAAGGAAGAAAGTAGCCTTTGTGATCACATCTTTTCTGCATCATTGCGAGTGCCATGCGTGGGGATGCAGAAATGGTACTATCCCATCCAGGCTCACGCAGAGCTTGCCTGAGGCCCAGGAAGAAGTCTTGTTAGAACAAAGTTATAAACTCAAGCAAAAAAGCAACCAGTCCCTGGCAGGACCCCTGGCCTGAGGTTGCCCCCCCCCCCGGGCCTGACCCCATCCACAATTTTCTCCCCCTATGACCCCTTTTCCCTCTCCAATTTCCCTTTCGCTCTCCAATAATTAGCATTTCGCAAATATAAATCTCCCTTCAGGGTCTCTTCCTACTTCTTTACATTGGAAGGGAAGGGAATGGGGGGGGGGTGCAGTGGCGTAGCAAGGTCAGGTGGTACCCGGTGCAGAAAATTTCTTGTCACCACCCCCCACATTGAAATTATTAAAAGAAGGAAAAAAATAAGATACTTACAGTTGCAAGTGTTGTTTTCTGGTTTATTTACTTAACATTGTGAGCATAAGCACTTAAAACCTCCCCCCCCCCCGCAATGGGAATTTCTTATTTTAAAAACACATTTTTTTGCCATTTTGTCACCCCCCTCAGTGATGACACCCGGGACGGTTCGCACCCACCGCACCCCCCTTCCTATACTCTGGGGCGGGGTGCATAATACAATTGTCACTATATTAGAGTTGGACAAGCCTGGGGCAGAAAAATCTTTCCCTCCATCTTTTAACACTTGCTTTTAGCCAGATTCCTCTCTTGCAAGCAAGTAACATTGGGTTGATGTTATTAAAGAAGTTTGGAAACCCTTTTTCATTTAATGAGATCTCCCAGATATGACGCAAAGGTCCCCCACTCCCTGTTTCAGATGCCAATTCAACTCACAACCTTTTGGTGTGACTAAAGAACTTTCAAGCACAATACCCTTTTGATCCATTGTGTGCCCTCTTGCAGGAGACTCTCCGGAGGGAGGTTCCTGCAGTCTGTTCAGGCAAACATTTTGCAGGTGTCAGGCAGAACACTGGAGAAGGAAAAGGAGGGTGATGCTGTTAGCAGATGTTTCCCTGCTCTTGTAGCCTTTTGCCAGCTGCTGAAATTGTGACGTGTTCATAATGCCATAGCCATGCCAATTCAGGTGAATGTGGTCTAGCAACAGAGGCACTTCCAGTTTCTGTGGGAAACTTTGTTTTTCGTAGAATCACAAAAATCTTGATGTCCTGGAGTGGTGCTGAATGTAATTTTTCTTTGCTGGAATATGTCCCTGTTTGATGTGCCATTTTGTCTGTATCTTATGTACTTTGTCGTTCTGTTCTTCCAGTGACCAGGATTGCTCCATCTTAAATAAAGACATAAAGTGCCTGGTTCCTTTGTGTGTTGTGGCTGAATGGTTTATGCCCTCCGTGAACAATGAGGTGAAAAGGGAAGTCCCACCTGCACCAGAGATTGTCTCCTGCAGTTTCTCTGTAGCTGGTATCAAGGTTTTATCTCTGCATGGCATATCCCTTGCTCAAATCCTGGAGGAAAAGCACTTGTTTTTCATTCCAAGCCAGTTTCGGGGGTGTTTTTTATTCAAGAGTTCTTATTTTACCTGGTAATACTCAAGGTATATGACTATGTGCCATATGAGTTTCAGAGGTAGGTTTATATGTCAGATTCTATGGTTTTTTCCAACATCCATAGTCTGTAAGGCTAGATGGAGGAAGCCCACCCAGAGAATTCTGGGACCCCCAAACCAGTCCATCTTCTAACACAGTCCCCCAGGTTCACACCTTTAGCTGGAGTGCCTTACTAGCCGTTATAACACACTGGATCCTTTCATTGTGCCTCACACCCATGTTGAACACCTTGCTGGCTGCGGCCTCAGCTTCTGTGATTTTCATGTGAATTGTGCCCCTGGGAGTCTTAGGGCTCTAATCCACCCCTTTGTCAAGTCTTTTCGTTGCAGCTGCTTCTGTGGGAGCTCCTCCACCATCCCTTCAACTTTCTCTATGTGGTTTGAGGCCATTTTGTTTTTATCTACTGGGGCCTTGATATTCTTGCGGAAAAGCTGGTCAAATGTGAGCTTGACAATGTAACCGTTAGGTGGATTTGTAGCTGGTTGACTGACTTAACCCAAAGAGTACTCATTAATAGTTCATCCTCATTTGATATGTTCTTTCTCTTAAATATGCACACACACACACATAAGTGAGGGAACCAGACACCACGGTGCTTGAGGTGCACAAAGTAAGCTATATTATAGCAATATGAGTTTTCCTTCGGAACATTTCCACGGTGTCACTCACCAGAGGCATAAAAGAGATTTATGACTCCACTGGCAACCAAGATATGGTTATAAACAAGTGAGGTAGTAAAAAAGATGGAGGCTAAAGAGATAATGGGATTAACGTCAAAAGCAAAGATGCCCAGGATGAAGGAGTGTTACCCAAGGACTCGAGGGACAGAAGTGGTATGGGAAGTTGAGGAGGGGAATTTTCAAGTGCCAGAAACGAAACAGAAGCCTAGGAAGAACGACAGCCCTAAGATCTGACATTCTTATTGCTGAGGTGTGGGGTCTATTTAGCTGCACAGTATTGCAATCTCTGGAGTGCATAGGGTGTTAGGGGAGGGGTGGGACTCCTTTGGGGGGCATGTTGTGCTCCTTCAGGGGTAGTTTGTCCACCTTGGGTCCTCACCCTGCACTCAGCTCTCACCTGTAGCTCCTAGAAGCTGCCAGCATGTGACAGCGGCCACAATTCCAGGAAACGGCTTTGACTGGCAGCCTAAACCAGGTGAGGGGAGCCAATGGGTCTCAAACCCTCAGTGAGTTAGGGACTTCCCCTGCAGGTAAATCACAAAAAAATGCAATCTGCAGAAAAAAAACTATTGATATTTGTTCCGATTCAGCAGTAAACAGCAGGTTTTCCTGGGGAATTTGGTGGCACAAAAGACCCAAGACTAGAAATCACTAAACAAAGGGAAGTGCGGAGAGGGAAATCTTAAGGCAGCTGTGAATTGTGCAGTGGAAAGGTTCATATAAGTGCAGTCCAAATCACTCTGCCCTTTCCTAGAAAGGAGCCTGGACGTAGCCAGGATTTATGTTTGTGGGAGACAGGATTTATGGGGGGGGGGACAGAACCTATCTATCTGTGATGCGAATGGTCAGTTAGTTAAGTATTTTTATTTATTTACTGGATGGGGGGGGGAACAGTTGCCCCCCCGGCTACTCCCATGGGAAAGGGTGGGGGTTTGATTTACTCAGAGAGAATGGCACAGCCGTGAGCTATCAGTGTGCATTCACACTGCACATATGGCTTTGTGTATAATAATAATAATAATAATAATAATAATAATAATAATAATAATAATAATATATTTATACCCCGCCCTCCCCAGCCAAGGCCGGGCTCAGAGCGGCTTACAAGCAATAATAAAAACAAGAAGAATGATTACAACTTAAAAACAAAAATAAAATACAACATTAAAATAAGGGAACATTAAAATATTAAAATGTAGCCTCATTGCAGGAGGAGAAGGAAAAGAAAAAAGAAAGAGAGGGAGGGAGGGAATCAAATTGGCTCCAAGCCAAAGGCCAGGCAGAACAACTCTGTCTTACAGGCCCTGCAGAAAGAAATCAGATCCTAAACACCTAACATTAATACGTAGGTGCTCAGAGCATTGCCCCGTGAGATGACCAATTCCAGTAACCAACGCAGATAGTCAAGAAGGAGTTACATTTCAGCTGGCGCAGCAGGATCCTCACCCCATCCCCATTTTTGCTAGGTCATAAATCACAGCCTCTCCAGGCACATTTGTAGAACCTTCTCTATTGGTGGATATATGTATCTGTGTATTCCTTTTGACGTTTTTATTATTATGAGATAGTTGCCCTGAAGGGGGATGAATAATGAAGGTGCTGCTATTGTATAGACAGAAATAAATATGGAACCCAACCGTGATTGTTCTAAGCTCGTTCCCTCCGGCACAAACTGCCCCCTTCCTACAATAACATATAACAGCAAAAGGAAATTTGCATCCAGGAATCAAATGGTTTAATTAGCAGGATGGTGCGATAAGAGGTGTCACTCCTGGGCACAAATGAGATGAGGCTGAAAAATCCGCTTCCCCATTTGGCTCAGCAAGGTTCAGGTGGAGGTGATGTTTGCAGCAGCCCTTGATGGAGGCAGGGAACATTTGTGTGTATTCCCACACTCAAGCCTGGCCCATTCAAGAGGCAAGGTGAGGCCAACTGTCTGGGATAGCAGGATCCATGGGGCAGCAGATCTGGCCTCCAAGGAACGCATTGCCCACTACTGCTGCCACGGGGGCAGTGAGATGCTCCTTGGAGCTGGATCTGAAACCTCCTTCCGAAATGTCATCTCTACAGTGGTCTCTTAGCAAATAAGAGGTGCTGCTGGTCTCCTCCCACATTTAGAGAGGAAATGATGGGGGCTGCCCTCTGGGGTCTCCTGGGTTCTGCACCTGCCCCAGGGCGATTCAAAGTGGGCCCCTTCCCCCCATTTGATTCCCAGTTCAATTTCCTCCTTGTTCCTGATGTTGATCTTCACCCACCCCATCTTCCCTGGCTGGGTTTTCTTTTGGTCGTTTTGTGGTTTGCCTCAGGTGCCGAAATGTCTTGGGCTGGCCCTTCTCACACTTCATCAGCACTGCTGTGAGTGGGTCATTAAAGCAGTGGCACACTCTCGCCAGGTCCTCTCAGCATTGCCAAACAGCACTCAGCCACCCTCTTCTGTATAGCATGAGTTTAGCTACTTGCCTGTTATGTACTGAGCTGAATCCTAGAACAATAGGATCCAGAATGCAGCAGTCTGATTGGTCCGCAGGAGCCACCCAATCAAACTCCAGGTGGAAGTGAATCAGCGACCTGATTGGCCAGCAGGAGCAGCCAATCAGGCTTCTGGAGGAAGTGAATCTGCAACCCGATTGGCCTACAGGAGCAGCCTGGAATTAGCCAATCACATGGGGCCCATTGTGTAAATAATGTACAGTATAGACATTTTGGGGAAAGATTCATTCATTGCTACTACGAGCTAAATAAAGAGCATGAAATTCACACTCTACTCCGAGTATATTTCATTGCCCAAAGAGGCTGGGTAAAGATAATTTCAAAAATTGCTGTTCACACCAGTGAACACCCAGAATCATCTTTAAGGTGATGGAGAATTCTAGAGACCTGCCACTCAGGGCTGTGGGGCCTATGGAACAGGGTAAGGAACCCTAACTGGAGTCAACCTCCCTCACCCACTCAGAATTGTAGGGCCTGGAGGCTGGGGGACTCAGGAGGGCCTCCCCCAATGCAGGGGAACAGCCGAGGTGGAGAGATGGGATCATACTAACCCCAATCCGGAGTTTCATGCTCTCTGAAACTCTTGGCAGTGCCCTTGCCAAGATGTCCTGCAAATGAGTAGAGCTCTGCAAAAGTTCCCTGTTTGCTGCACATCTTGGTTTTGAAAGTTTTGATACAGTTAGGGCTCTAATTTACCCATTAATTCATGTCTTGAATCTCTGTTTCAGAGATGTTGCCAGTGGGCATAAAATATGTAATATACTGACAGTGTTTGAAATAATGTTAATTATGTAATACTTCCTTTTCAGCTTGGAATGCTGAAGCATATTTTCACAATGATAGATGAAAAAGCAGATATTAGATTGCTCAGAGGCTTAGCAAGGGCCTCAAATCCAGCCAGAATAGCATCCTTATAGTTCCTCCTTGGCTTTCTGCCTAAAACCTAAAATAATAAGCAGATACAAAGCAGATTCAGCCATCAAATAGCAGTGAAGGAGGAAATCAAGGACATATGATTTTTCCTAGATTTTTCCCCAAGCCATGTCCACTTGCCTCACCCCTGACATCATATATTGTGTCAGCAGGTAGGGCTAAAATGGGGTTTACAGGCATTTGTGATCAGCTGATCAGTAGCAGCTGCAAAACACTTTGCAATCCCTGACAACTGATTGTTGGAGCTTCAGAAACTCTGTGGAAGCTGTTGGGATGTGTGCAAAGCTCCTTGAGCTGGTGTGATATTAGCAATAGCTAATTAAAGTGCTAAGAGCGAGAGATAAAGCTTGCTGAGTAGAAGCCTCAGCAATTAACGGATTGTCACCGCTTCTGCCTGCACGGCTTTATTTCAAACACTGGCAGTGAAAACCTGACATCATTGTGACACCAAGTGATTGGCAGGAGATTAGCCCTGCCCTCCCCTTCAAACATGGCCTTTTGGTGGGCAGGGGGTAGATAAAGATCTGGTCCAGTCCAAGATCTAAGATTAAATCAGTGTATACACAGGACCGGAACTTTTCAATAGCAGCATCTAGATTGT